ATCCTCCCTCCCCCATCCTCTCTAAAAATCAATAAAAACATATCTTCAGGTGAACATTAAAAAATAAATAAATGCTTGTAGTTTTGACTTGTATTTCTTTACTGTTACTATTATTAGACAGCCAGCATCCAGCAAAGCTTTTTTTTTCTTCTGCTATGAGAACAGAAATGCTTTCTACTCCTGTAGCATATATTGTTTGAAGGGTAGAGGAAGATGGTAGGGATTTAATGGGTATGTCTGTCTTAACTGAATATTAGATCAAGTAGAATAAGGCTAGTCACAACTTAGGTAATATCATTAGTTGTAGTATATTTCAATAAAAGTAAATAATTTTTACTTCAAAGATGAAAACTTGTTAATGATCTATGTTCTAAATATAGTCAGTTTTGATACATTCAATCTCCAATGCTGTTACTTGTTAACATTCATTCATTCAGCAAATATTTGACTGCCTAATCTATGCTAAGTTATGGTGACACAAGTAAAATAAAGCAGAACCTGCACCAAAATTCATAGCATAGTATTGAAGGCATACAGTTAATGGTTTAAATAGAAATGTGCATAGGTTCCAGGAATGCAATAGAAGAGGGTGCCCAAATGCTTACTGTGATCAGATGTGGCCTCTTGCAGAGCTCATCTCAGTAAATAGGCATTTTCCCTGGGGAGAGAACATTCTAAGCAGAGTGGAACAAACATAGTACGTAGAGGTACACTTGAGAAGTAGTTACTTATACCCAGAAGATAGGTTTCATGGGGCAAATGCAAATAATGAGGCCAGAAAGCTAGAAAAGTTCTGTATGGCTTACTATGCCAGATACTGCCCTAAGCATTTTACACTTTAACTCATTTAATTCTCAGAGTAATCCAAAGAGGTGTGGTTACTACCATTACCCTCATTTTATGTCTATGAAATGGTCCTGGAAGAACACACTAGGCCACCAGAAAGGGTAAAACATTATCTAACCTATTACATCATTCTTGGACCATCCTTAAAAGTTATTCCATTTATACCTTTGTTTCTTCTTGATCTATATCTAGCTCTAGTTTAATATATTGATAACTTTTTATCTTCACTCAAGGACATGCTTAGAGAGAGGAAGGGAGAGAGAAAGAGAAAGATCAGTGTGAGAGAAACATCAATTGATTGCCTGCTGTATGCTACCCTGACTGGGAATCAAACTGGCAATCTTTTGATGCACAGGACAACGCCAACTGAGCCACTCTGGCTGGGCTACATTGAAACATTTTTTAAATGAAAAATTAATTTATACAGTATAGTAATAAGTCTGTATTGTGGATTAGTAAATGGTACTGTATCAATGTTAAGTTTTCTGATTTTGATAACTATACTTTGGGTATGTAAGAAAATATTCTTAGAAAATGCACACTGAAGTGTTTAAAGATAATGGTCATGATATCTGCAACTTACTGTCAAAATAACTGCATTTCAGTGTATTGCTAGGGCTGCTGTAACAAAGTACAATAGATAACAGAGATTTATTTTCTTTTTTTAAAAAAATATATATTTATTTCAGAAAGGAAGTGAGAAGGAAAGAGATAGAAACATCAATGATGAGAGAGAATCAGCTGCCACCTGCACGTCCCCTACTGGGGATTGAGCCCACAACCTGGGCATGTGCCCTTTACCAGAATAGAACCTGGAACCCTTTAATCTGAAGACCAACACTCTATCCACTGAGCCAAACTGGCTAGGGCAAGATTTATTTTCTTACTGTCTTGGAGCATAAATGTTCAAGTCAAGGTGTCCACCAGGGTTGGTCCCTTCTGAGGGTATGTCTCCTTGGCTTATAGATGGCTGTCTTTTCCCTACGTCTTCCCATGGTCCTTTTGTCTCTCTTCTTAAAAAGATGGCCATATTGTATAACAGTGCACCCTAATGTGCTCATTTGATCTTAGATACCTTTATAAAGACCCTTTCTCCAAGTATAGTTAGTCACATTTTTAGGTGTACTGAGGATTTAGACTTCAATATGTGGACTTTGTGGGCACACAATTCAGCCCATAACAGTACTGTTGAATTTTTGTACTTTTATTTTATATCCCACAACTTTCTTAACCCTATTACAAATACTAATCTATGTGTACACTCTTTGAATATTTTTTTTTTACACACAGAGGTCTGCAATCTGCAAAAAATGCCAGGTTCTTTCATTTCTTTTATCAATACTTACACCTTGTATTTCTTTTTCTTGCATTTATGCACTGTCTGAGACTCCTGTTACAGTGGTATAATAAAGAAGTAATTGGCCACCTTGTCTTGTTCTAATCTTATAAGGCAGTGGTCGGCAAACTGTGGCTGGCAAGCCACATGCGGTTCTTTGGCCCCTTGAGTGTGGCTCTTCCTAAGCCTTATGAGTACCCTAATTAAGTTAATAACAATGTACCTACCTATATAGTTTAAGTTTTAAAAATTTGGCTCTCAAAAGAAATTTAAATCGTTGTACTGTTGATATTTGGCTCTGTTGACTAATGAGTTTGCCGACCACTGTTATAAGGAGTGCCTTCAGTGTTACATAATTTAATGTTAGCTGTGGGGTTTTTGTAGTTATCCATTGTCAAGCTATGGCTGTTCCTTTCTGTTTTGGCTTATAATAGGTAGTAATTATGAATGGCAGTCATGCTTTTTCTATATCTATTGACATCAGATATTTCACTTTTCATGTGAATATATAATATCTTAATCTATTTTTTAAAATATATTTTTATTGGTTTCAGAGAGGAAGGGAGAGGGAGAGATAAATAGAAACATCAGTGATGGGAGAGAATCATTGATTGGCTGCCTCCTGCACATCCCCCACTAGGGATCAAGCCTGCAACCTGGGCGTATGCCCTTGACCGGAATTGAATCTGGGACCCTTCAGTCTACAGGCTGAAACTCTATCCACTGAGCCAAACCTGCTAGGGCTGTTTATCTATTTTCCAGAGCTAACCCAACCTTTTGTGCCTGGAATAAATCCAGCTTGGTCATGATGTGTTGTATTTTGTATCCCTTACTGGGTTTGATTGGCTAGTTTTTGTTCAGGATTTTGGCATCCATGTTTCAGTGACATTGGCTTGGAATTATTCCTTCGTGTATTGTCCTATTCTAATTTTGATATCAAGGCTTTGTAAGCTTCATAAAATATGTTGGGGATTCTTCTTAATTTTCTCTTCTCTAGAATAATTTATGTAAGATTAAAATTAAATGTTTACTGAATGTTTAGTAGAACTTAACATATAAAGCCACCTGGTTTTCCTTATGAGAAGATTTTCAGTAACTGACTGAATTTAATGAATTTATTCCATTTTTTTTCTATTCTGTTGGTAAATTATGCTTTTAAGAAATTCATTTTTTAATTTATTTATTTTTTAATTAAAACTTCTGAGTTTTCCAAATAATTGCCATGAAGTTTTTTGTAATATCATGTTACTCTTCTTCTTCTTTTTTTATTTTATTGATTTCAGAGAGGAAGGGAGAGGGAGATAGAAACATCAATGATTAGAGAGAATCATTGATCGGCTACCTCTTGCACACGCCACACTAGGGATCAAGCCTACAACCCGGATATATGCCTTGACCGGGAATCAAACCGTGACCTCCTGGTTCATAGGTCAATGCTCAACCATTGACCCACACCAGCTGGGCTATCATGTTTCTCTTAATCTCTGAATCATTTGCTATTTCTAATAGTTTTGGTGCCAGAATGTTTCCAGAAATTTATCAGTAAATTATTTCAAATAACTAATTTTTGGCTTTTCATGCTTTCTGTTGTGTTTATTTTCTGTTTCCTTTATTTTTTTTTATTTCTACTTCCTTTGGGTTTATTCTTTGTCTAAAAATGTTTAGATTGCTCATTAATTTCCTTATAAGTTACCACTCAAGCTGCATCTTAAGGAGTTTTGTGGTTATTACTAGGTTTAAAATATTTTCTAAGATGTGTTCTTAATATCCAAACATGATATTTTTCTAGTTATTTTTTTTTTTTTACTATCGATTTAGCACTTCATTGCAGTGTGGTGAGAGTATAAATAATGGTTTGTGATGCCATCTTTTGAAATTTGTTAAGCCTAATATTTGCTCAGTTTTCAAGTATGCCTGCAAAGTATGAGTATTCTCCGACCACTAGATATACATTCAATATATGCCCATTAGCCCAACATACTTACTCAACATGGTACTAATTTTATCTATACTTAGTGCTGAATAAAATCTAAACGTAAAAGCTCTTATAGTAATGGTAAACTATTTGTCTTTATGTAGAGTGGTGAGACTGAACGGCAGTATAAAGGAACTGTAGACTGCTTTGTGAAGATATACAAACATGAAGGAGGCGTTGCATTTTTTCGTGGTGCCTTCTCCAATATCCTTCGTGGTACAGGGGGCGCTTTAGTGTTGGTATTATATGATAAAATTCAAGAATTCATTAATATTGGTAGTGGAGGTAGTTCATAGGAGATTGAGAAATGCATACATTTAACTTGTTAAACATACAAATTATATAGCTGCCATTTGTATATATTTTGATAGTTTGTTATTACTGTCAGCATTTTTTAAAGTGGTAATTCTACAATAAAGCATAAGCTTTTTCAAGCATTTAAATAAAAATCAGATAAATGTGGGTTTCCTTCCCACTAAGACTCAAACTCACTTTACTGAGACATTTTACTTAGTAAATGTTATTTTTATTAGTTAAAACTTTTTCTTTTGTGATGAAAAATTAAAAAGTATAATGTTAAAATATAAGAAATTAAAGTTCTTAAAAAATGCTATTATTTTAATGTAATTGTCTTCCCTTCTTTTAAAATCATATGACATATATTTCTTTAAAGCTTATCAGAAGATGTCATCATTATATCTTTGGGCATAAGTAAGCTTTCTTCAACATCTCTACTAAAACAGCTCAGTTTATTACTAAGTATAGTGTTTATGGTATTATATAGCTTTTAATAAACCCAGATTCTGGGTCTCATTAAAAAAAACCTGATAATGACATTAATGACACTATAAACCTGTAGTTGGGAAAAAAGAGATACAAAATGGCATATATCTGCTAACTTTTTTCTTTAAATAAAATCTTGCTAATGTGAATATATCTTGGAACAGAAAAAGTCCCCTCAAAAATTAGTTTGTGTATCTGGTATTAATAAAGTAAGTTTAAAGGTTATATCTGAGCTTTTTTAAAAATTAATCTTTATTGTTGAAAGTATTATAGATGTCTCTCTTTTTTTTCCTCATTGGTCCCCTCCTCCCCCATCTCTTCCCCTCCCCAGGCCTTCACCATACTATGGTCTGTGTCCATGAGTTATGCATATCCTATATAATAAAGAGGTAGTATGCAAATTGACAATCATGCCATCGCACAAGATGGCCGCCCCCATGTGATCACAAGATGGCCGGCAGGGGAGGGCAGTTGTGGGCGATCAGGCCAGCAGGAAAGGGCAGTTGGGGGAGACCAAGCCTACAGGGGAGGGCAGTTGAGGGCGGGGGGACTGGGCCAGCAGGGGAGGGCAATTGGGGGCTACTGGACCTGCAGGGGAGGGAAGTTGGGGGTGATTGGGCCGGCAGGGGAGCAGTTAGGCGT